CCTACGATATGCTGCAATAGGGTTCTGCAATAATGAGCAGCTACGCTAATTATGTCAGTCTGGATCCAGAACACCTGAGAAGAGATGATGCCAACCCCTCAGAGGACCTCAGATGATCAACATGAAACAACATACAGAACTACCTCATTTTTCTACAAGTTTGATTACATCATATAATAATTGCTGTTAATAGTGTTCATCCTTAATTTGCTGTAAAGTTGCTTTGCAACGATTTGTATCGTGAAAATCGCTATACAAATAAACTTGAACTTAATTGAAAATATGGATATTTTTCTTACAAAAACACATGGATTCGCTACAGGAGATCTTTATTCACCCCCCGGAGCCGTGTGAGGCACATTTTGTTATGGATGCGCGCGCTTTATATGACGACTTGTGCACTGTTCAACTGCAACACCTGCTGACTGCAATGATAGAGCTTGGAATAGCCAGGACAATTTTTAATATAACTCCGACTGGATTCGTTTGAAAGAAGAAAGTCATATACACCTAGGATGCTTCGAGGGTAAGTAAAACACAAGCTAATTTTCATTTTTGGGTGAACTAACCCAAAATCCAAAGCGACTTACTAATTTGATCTAAAGCGACTTACAGTGCATTCAGGCTATACATTTTTTACCAGTATGTATTTAAAAAAGAATATCATTAATTTCATGAATATCAAGAAGTTTTGCCTATTCATAAACTCCTTGTGCTACTTGTAGGCTACTTATACTAAAACTGCTTACGTAAGGGAAAGTTCACACAAAAATGGAAATTGTGTCATCATTGTGTCATCTTCGTTGCAAACCTATGCAATTCTTTCTTCTATTGAGCACAAAAGAAGATATTTTGCAGAATGTTGGTAACCAAACAGTTAAATGCGTAATTTTCTTTCAGGTATACCTTTTTTATTATATAGATGTAATATTTTCTTCATTCCATTTATTTTTATTTATTTATTTTTATTTAACTTTTTGATACACAATAAATACCCTGTTGGGGCAACTTAATGACTGCACTTTGTTCTGCACTATGTTCCACCACTTTAAGACAAATGGATTTGTTGTGTTTTCATATTCAAGAGATTATAAGTTAGATGCAAGTTTTTTTGGGTTTGCATCGAATGTTCTTCGACTTTTATGCATGATAGATTTGTTTATGAATAAAGCTTGATCTGTTGAAAGCCGTTATTTTGAGTTAGATGCCAAAAGGTCTCCTCCTATTCAAATTTGACATTGAAGTGGTGCATACAACATATTTGCCCACTGGCAACTATAGGTGCTGCACATTCAAATACGATTTTCAAGAAAAAAAACTAAACCCTGGGGAAAATAAATGTACAACATGTTCACATAGGACACTATTAACATGACTATATGCAGTGTTGTGCAAGTTACTTCCAAACTGTAAAACACTGATAATGACTGTGGGCTATCCAGGCTACTAACAATATAGCTTATAATTGGCAAAGTGAAGGCTCAAGACAATGCCAGAAAGGATGACAGCCAGAATCACAAACGATCCAAGTCTGTTAAAAGTATGGTAGAGGTAAAGTGATTATCTGGCAATATCTGTGAATAGCTTGGGTCTATTCATATTAGACAACAGGACTATATGTAAACTCTAATGCCATGACAAGATGCGCATACGTCCATCTCGCGAATGTAGTGTCTTCTGCCATCTTCACCCATTAGCCGTTTTTCACTGGCCAGTGCGAGCCGGGGCTTACAGTGAGCCGGGCGGGGCTAATAGCCTCGGACCTCTAGCACAGCCACAGAGGCCGAAATAATGCCGCGTTTCCACTGTCGGGCCAGTAGCCTCGCGGCACTCCTGTAAAACCTGCCCTAAACACGCCTTCACTGGACTACGTCACACAATACAAAGTTCCACCAGCGAGAGGGAGATGAATGAAATAAATCGCTAAACAAATATATCAGAAGCTGTAATTTATTTTTTATTTACAAACTTGGACATCACACGCGGATATTGACTGACCACGAACAGGAAATAGAACTTACTTGCGGCATTTTTGATTTGTTAATGTCTCGCGGTCTTGCTGTTTTTTTTTTTTTAACAATTACATTTTGGGCTAAAAGTGTGTTGTAACGCATGTGTTACTGAACATGTACTGAGTAAAATATTACTGAAAATTGATTAGTAATGCCTTACACAACTGCGTTACAGCAAAAAGTAATCAGTTACTGTAATGCATTACTTTTGTAACGCGTTACTCCCAACACTGACTATATGCATGAAACCATTCAGAAAAATTTGGGCACAAATGGGTTAAGTCAGTTGATTTACTTGCAAAACATCACTTTTATTTAGTTCATTTAATCTATACAGCAGCTCTGGAGAAAATGGTGATGTCATCATCAAAACAAAACTAAATACCTTACGTCATTTCGCTTGTCTTGTAAAGGAATCTTGATTTAATCATTTTTAGATATGTAGCCTGGAAAAAAATACTAAGAAAATGGTGTAGGCCCATTTAGAATGTGGTTGTTTTCTTATTTTTCATATTCATTCATACAGTATATTCATTATGACTTATTCTTTTATGGTTTTATTACATTACATTCATATTAATGTATTACTCATATACTCAGTTACTCAAGTATTATGCATTTATATTCATAATTCCAGTTGTACTCATTGCAACGGGGTGAACGAGACGTGCGGCTCCATCTGCAAGCTTTTATTCAAAGGCGTGGTCATAAAACAGGCAAGGTTCTGACAATGGCAAACAGGTATATCGAGGGCAAGACAAAAGAATAATCCAAAACAGGCGCGAGTCAGCCGACAGCGAACGTTATCCAGAGGGCTTGACAAAGGGTAATCCAGAAACACGAGCAATATTCCAGGCGAGGTGCAAACAGAGTCCGAACAGCGAGACAAGGGTTAATCTAAGATACACAGGACAGATTCAGGTAACAGGCAATTACAAGACTAGACTAGACTATGAACTGAGACTGGAAACTAAGGGTGCTTTCACACCTGTAGATCGATTGCTTTGTTCCGAAACAGGGATTAATATTATTAAAATTAATGTTGCTTTTTATTCTTGATGCGGTTCGCTTTCACACGGCAAAGTTTCTAAACGGACCAAATTTGTTAATACAAGTCACGCGCGAGTAAACTGTTCTCTCATTGGCCAAAGTTCCACGGTTTATTTTCCGGGATTCCACTTGGCTGTCACAGCTGTCATCCGTCAGGATGCAACGATAACAGCTTCTTTTTTTTTTTTTTAGCTGTCCTTATATTAATTTATGGCTTTCTCACTACAACCGAACCACTCTAGAGTTCGTTTTCAATCGAGCCGAGACCACCTCGTTCAGGTGATCTCGAACCGATTGTTTTGGTGCGGATCCGAGCACGATTGCCGTGTTCACATATGCCCAAACGAACCGAGCTAAGGGGGGAAATGCGCCAGGTTCCGAAACAACGGGCCAGGTGTGAAAGCACCCTAAAACAGGAAAAACTAGGCTGGCTCCGTAATGTAGCTATTGCTAGGAGAGTGATATATGCTAAACCAGTGGTCGCTAACAACACTGTTGCCGCGGGTTGTTGTTCATGTCCGCGGGTTGAAGTGACCTGAAACAGCTATGATCGGCGCATCACTAATTAAAATACTAAGTAAAAGGCCTCAAATTTGAAGTACAATCTGGGATGTCTTTTTCTGTCAATTCTTCAATAGGTAGCTCTTGTCTTTCATAAAGGCCGAGGTCAGAGATCTTGGGGCCTAAAAAGGTTGGTGACCACTGCGCTAAACAATAGTCAGCAATTTGAAAGAGGAAGTCCATAGCTTATAAAGTGTCTTAGATTGGTTACAGCTGTGCGTATCATCAGTGCAATGGATGCTGGGAAATGTAGTCCGTGGTGACATGTGGAAGTCTGTGTAGTGTGAGAGTCAATGTAACGGAAGAGCGATCTCTGCTGGCAAGCGGATGGAAGTCCATGGACAGGATTCGTGACACTCATATTCCATTGACGTAGTATATTTCCTTAATTTGACATATAAAAGGTACATTCTGTTATGCTTAAGCGATGTTTGGACAGGATGATGGAAACTTATTCTCTGCAAAAATATGTTTTTGCAAGTTATTTTTTTATATATGCCATGAACATGCAAAACCCCTTCAATTTTTCCTTTCTCTTTGGAGTGTTACAAGCTCTGAAAGGAAAACTTGAAATCGCATCATTTGACCCCTTAAAGTTACAGTACCATTGGCTCACTGACCCCCCTGGAGGTGTGACCTCCGTAGAAGTTAAAAGGCCTCAGTACTCCATGACCGCCCTCTCTTCTTCTTGCATCATCTTATCCTCTTTTACTCTCTTCTTTTATGAAAATAATAGTAATGTGAATGTGCATTAATTCATCCCACTCAAAAAAACAGATTTAGTATTCATCAAAATGAATTAAAACGGTGAAATGCAAACTCAGAACCTGCAATAATTAAATGTTAAATTAACACAAATGTATCTAATCCCATTTTATTAACCAATGTCTTTGCTGCTGACCTTTGATGATCCAGTTCAACCATACTAATAAGCAAAAATGACTTTAGAGAAACTAACAATTGTGCTTTGTTTTTTTATTGCTTTATCTTCTCCTGCGTTCTACTGTACAGACGTGAATTTACTTTTGCTTCAGCCTGAGGTTTATTCATTACACTTTTTGGTGTGAAAGGGCTTTTATATTTGCTATAAATAGAACTTCTTATATTAAAAACAATCAAGCCCTGCTCATATTTAAAAAGTAACGCAAAAGTAATAAAACGCATTACTTTCCATAAAAAGTAACTAAGTAACGTAATTAGTTTCTTTTTTAGGGAATAATGCAATATTGTAATGCATTACTTTTAAAAGCAACTTTCCCCAACACTGGTCATAAGTGATAATCAGATGTAGCCTGCGTTCAGCTGTAATATGAACATAGCCTTTATTTCACACAGCATTTTTCTTGTCATATTCTTTAACCAAAGATATAAGTCTCACATGTATCTTTATTTGTGATGGCAAAAAAAAAAAAAAAAACATTTTATTACATTAACCACAATTAAATAGTCTTCCAGAAAGAATGTACAAATGATTGTAGAAATAGTTCCTTTTTCAAAACCTCTCGTCACGCTGAGGAAAACTGCAATTTCTTCTCAGAATGAGTTTGCAAATGACGTTTCATGCTGCTTTGACTTCTGAAACTCTTCTCACACTGAGGACACTTGTAAGGCCTCTCTCCAGTGTGAATCCTCTTGTGAGTCTTAAGGCTTCCTTTAGCCCTGAAACTCTTTCCACACTGTTCACAGGTGAAAGGTTTCTCTCCAGTGTGAATTCTCATGTGATCCTTGAGGTGTCCTCCTTTTGAGCAACTCTTTCCACAGTGATGGCACATGAAAGGCTTTTCTCCAATATGAATTTTAACATGATCCTGAAGGTGATTTGTGTCTGTGAAACTCCTTTCGCACTGATGACATTTAAATCTGACCTCTCTCGAATGAATACTGATGTGATAATTAAGGTTTTCTTTATATCTGAAACTCCTGCCGCACTGATCACATGTGAATGGATTCTCTCCAGTGTGACTTCTTATGTGAGCCTGTAGGTTTCTTTTAATGGTGAAACTCTTTCCACACTGAGGGCAGGTGAAAGGCTTCTCTCCAGTGTGAAGTCTTATGTGGCCAATCAGGAGATTTTTCTGTGTGAAACTCTTTCCACACTGAACACATATGAAAGGTCTCTCTCCAGTGTGAATCCTCATGTGAGTCTTAAGACTTCCTTTACGTGTGAAACTCTTCCCACACAGTTTGCAGGTGTAAGGTCTCTCTCCCGTGTGAATTCTCATGTGGACATTAAGGAGTTTTTTCTCTGTAAAGCTCTTTCCACACTGAGAGCATATTAATGGTTTCTTCTCAGTGTGAATTTTCATGTGAGTCTTAAAATATCCATTTGAGAAACTCTTCCCACACCGTTTGCAGGTGTAAGGTTTCTCTCCAGTGTGACTTTTTATGTGGGCATTAAGGGTACTTTTCTGTGTGAAACTCTTTCCACACAGTTTGCAGATGCAAGGTTTTTCTCCAGTGTGAATTCTCATATGGACATTAAGGTACTGTTTCCGTCTAAAACACTTTCCACACTGAGGGCATATTAATGGTTTCTTTTCAATGTGAAATTTCATGTGCATTGTAAAGCTCCCTTTCCTATTGAAAATTTGTCCACACTTTTGGCAGGTGAAAGAGCTCTCTCCAGTATGAACTCTAATGTGGGAATGAAGGTTTGTACTTTGTGTTTTTTGAGCTTTTTTAGGTGAGGAAGTCTTTTCAGTTTGTGAGGAACTAATTTCTTCTTCAGGTTTGAAATCATGCTGTTTTTCATTTTGATGTTTCTCTTGAGTTTCATTCAGTTCTTGACTCTCCTCTTTCAGTGCCATCAAGTCTGAGGTGAAAAGAGACAAATACAAGTTAACACCAGTTTAACGCAGCAGCTAGAACACTTACTAGTCACACTGACCACTCTCTGCATCATCTTAGTCTGGAGGACAGAAAATAAGCAGTTACTGGCCACAGCATTTGCCAAGTTTAGTCTGAAACGAAAGAAGTGCCGGTCCTCACTATACACAAAGTATGCAAGTTGTGTACAGCCCTTAAAGGGGTCCTATTATGCTCTTTTACAAAGTCTTGATTTTGTTTTGGGGGTGTACTAGAACATGATCTCATGCTTGGTGGTTCGAAAAACGCATTATTTTTCACATAATGAAAAAAAACAGCGTTTCAGGCGGTCGCGCACCGGACGAGAAGCGCAGCATCGCGTCGCACCACGTCTTTAAAATTCGAATACGTTACTTTCTATGCGTGTAGGCACACCGGCGGCGCCGATCGGTGTCTGTCCGCGGCGCCCAGCTACGTAGTTCAATGAGCCGCTTTGTGATATCACAAAGCCCGGAAAACAAACGCTGTAGTCCAAATGAGCCGTTTGTTGTAGTTCTTGAAAAGGGATAAAAAAAAAAAAAAACGAAATATCTCCCTTTGGATTGAACTTTCTAGATCTTTTTTATGCCCAAACATACACACTACACACTGACTAAAATTAAAAAAGTGAAAAAGCATAATAGGACCCCTTTAAACCACTGCTTAGACATTCCACAACCCATTGCAGCTGTGCAATTAATAGAATCTTAGTTGCATTTTATTATTTCGACTTTCAACAATTATGATGCAAGGAGTGAAATGATTTTCTTATGAAATTAACTCCTCAAGAAGCCAAAACTCAGGAACTCACACAAAACTGATACCATGCAATAAAACAATAAAACTCAAAGTTCATTAAGAATATGTATATCCCACATATCATGTATCTTGTGAACCTGTTGTGAACCTGTGCGATTGGTAAATTGGTCTCAATTTCACAGTAATTTGTATTATGAGAAATATTGAAAACTTTTGTAGAATTGTGTTCTGCTGAGGAGGGGGTGTGTCCCTCTTTAGGGGTCTGTGAGAATGTTTATCTTCAGCCAGGTGTGACCCTGGATCACGAGAACCTAAACAACCAAAAGGTCTTCTATGTTTTTACAACTGGTTTGAAGATTTCTTTGTTGTCTGGTCTGAGTATATAAGAGAAGTGACAAAACACTACTTTGGGATTCTATAGACAGAAACCCCCATGCAGTGTGTGAGAGTCTCTGGAGCTCTGCACCAGAACTCTCGCTGCTGTGTGTCTCTTTGCTGTCAGGTATGCATCTCTTAGATTCAATATTTGAGCAATCAATATTATGCATTTATCTGAATTGGAACTGAATTTAATTCTGAATTGGCTTCTGATTGTTTCATTATGTAATTGGCATGAAACAAAAAAATTTACTAGCCAATGGCGATTCAATTGCCAAGGTGTCCGTAGAGGGCTGTGAAAACAAACTCCAACCAATGCCAACAGACGCCGACAGGGGTAACACACTGGTCCAACAAACTCCAACAGACTAGTTTGTTGGCGTTTGTCTGTGCAGTGTGAACGGGCCTTTAAGTGAACATAAACAGTGGAAAAGTAATCAAACTGAGCACTAATGCTTGCAGTGTGAGACATGTAAAATATAAAAACTATTGGAGTATTCCAGGACATCATTCAACTTTAAATTTTTACTCCCTTCCCTCCATCTTGTGGATGTACGTTATTGCTCATGTTGAACGAGTGCATTAATGGCAGAATCAGTACAATGGGTTTAAATGGAACACCCTGGATCACTGACTAATATGTTTGGATGTAAAGTTTATAAAGCAATCTGTAGGCCTATGAACAGGCATTCAGGGAAAGCATTAAAAAAATGGAAATGATCAAACATGATATAATCAAAGTGAGCACAGAGCACTCTTTATAATCACTAGAGCTGTCAATTATTTCAGTTCAGCTTGAGCTCATTGACCAAGTTCCGCAATGGCACCAAAACTCGAACCATGGGGAACACCATTAGGGGCTTCTGATTTCTGACTGTCACTGGCTTAACACGGTGTAGCTCTCATGTAAAAAATACACTTTTTGTAATGAGCATGCAGTGTGAAGCTCACTTAAAGGTATTACAACCACTCTGCATCCTCGGAGTAAGTTTAGAACTGACGAGTTTGTGTCTCTGGTCCCTAATGAACGAAGAATTGAAAGGATTTCTAGAATACTCAAATATCTAAATTTCAGACGAATCCAATCAGAGTTATATTAAAAATTGTCCTGGCTATTCCAAGCCTTTCAATGGGAGTAAGCGGGTGTTTGTTGTCAACAGTTCAGAAGACGTGAAATAAAGTGCGTGCATCCGTAATAAAATATCCCTCACAAGGCGATGAATAAAGGCATCCTGTAGCGAACCCATGCGTTTTTGTAAGATAAATATCCATATTTCAAACATAATAAAACACTTTTCTCTCACTTCCGGTATCTGTCATATGCGGAAGCAGTCCCGGCGGATGATGTAAGACGTCGGTGTTGCGCGATTAGTGACGAGCGCAGAGAGAGAACAAAACAAAACGGCGGTCATGAATTAGAAGCACAAAATGAGGATTTGTAAAGGAAAATGTCGGAGGATTTTGATATAAGCCAAGAGGAGACTGGTTTCACTGGCTTAACACGGTGTAGCTCTCATGTAAAAAATACACTTTTTGTAATGAGCATGCAGTGTGAAGCTCACTTAAAGGTATTACAACCACTCTGCATCCTCGGAGTAAGTTTAGAACTGACGAGTTTGTGTCTCTGGTCCCTAATGAACGAAGAATTGAAAGGATTTCTAGAATACTCAAATATCTAAATTAATAAACAATCGATATTTGTGATCAGTTTTGAATTAGAAACATTGCCTAAATTTAATGATCACTTGAAATTGGAGTCAGATTGAACACGGAGCTAGACTAAAATTGGAACTAAATCCTGATAAATTCAGAAGCGCAAGTAAAAGACCGAATACGCTTTAAACCTTCGACCAGGCCGCTGGATTCAGCTTTTAGGGCCTGCGGGTGGATCCTTACAATGAAAACGCAATGCTGTGTTCTGTTTCTGTCATTTAAAGCATGGTGGTTTTCCTTGCATGTGATCTGAGATGGTGTGCAACAGACAAGTATAGGCTACTGCACAGGGTGTGCAACTTAAATGGAGAAGAAATACACTAAAAAATGTCAAAATGCCTTTCTTGGTGAGTTCTCACTTAAATGCAGTCAGTTATCTCTTAAGGCCAATTCAACCGCACAGACAAACTCCAACAAACAAGTTGGCTACAGTCGGCTAGGAAAATGTCGGAGGATTTTGATATAAGCCAAGAGGAGACTGGTTTTCCTTTGAGAAACGCAGGAGCAAAGCTTACTTTAGCAGAGGCGCGCACAATGCATACGTCTTATGTCATCCGCCGGGACCGAATACGCTTTAAACCTTCGACCAGGCCGCTGGATTCAGCTTTTAGGGCCTGCGGGTGGATCCTTACAATGAAAACGCAATGCTGTGTTCTGTTTCTGTCATTTAAAGCATGGTGGTTTTCCTTGCATGTGATCTGAGATGGTGTGCAACAGACAAGTATAGGCTACTGCACAGGGTGTGCAACTTAAATGGAGAAGAAATACACTAAAAAATGTCAAAATGCCTTTCTTGGTGAGTTCTCACTTAAATGCAGTCAGTTATCTCTTAAGGCCAATTCAACCGCACAGACAAACTCCAACAAACAAGTTGGCTACAGTCGGCTATTGGATTTAGAATTTTATGAAAAATAACTGTCATGTTCACACTGCCCCAACAGACACCAACAAACCTCGAGTCACAGACAGTCAAGTAACACCGTGTCTACATCGGACGCGACAGTTGTCGCATCGCGCCACTTCCAGTGTAGCCAGCGACACTCATTATAATCACTCAACCTCTATTGTATTTTGTTGTCACGCCGCACCGCTCGCGTCCGGTGTAGATGGTGTAAGTCTGATTGGGGACGAAACAGATGATCCTTTAACCACAATCAAAATGTTACTGTTATTAATGTCTTTGCATGTCATTCTTTGCCTGAAAAAATGGCGAATAAAATGAGTGAAGCACACTTTAAGTGAAATATGCGCATCGTCATGGCAACGGTTCGTGGCCACGTCAGAGTTTGTTGTAAAATAATTTCACACTGCTCAGACATTCCACGACCCAACAAACGCTGATTAAGCATGTTCAGTCGGGTGAAACAACCCTCTACATTGCGAGTAAATCACTCGCATATGCGACTAAATCTTACTCTGGGCGACTAAATGATGTCTAATATTAGCCAATGGCTAATAAATTCTCAGATTTTACTCGCCAGTGTG